ACTTGAAGGACTTCCCAGAAAAGTGACCAGAGTCTGTGTTTGGAACATTTGCTCCTCACTGAAGAAAGGCTGCAAGATCTTCCAGGCCAGCTCTCCTGAAGTCTTTGGTCTCTGCCCTAATACTTGGAATAGCAGGCTGAGCAGAGTGTTTTGCACGGTGCTGGTCACTTAGCATTTGTCCCCTATGATTATAACTGGATGTCCCATGAAGACAACTAATCTTTTTCTCAAGGGGAAAAAATGCAAACCAGTAACTCAGTGTGACAACCCCTTCAAAATGATGAAGTGAATAATGGTTTAAAACTTTACACAGCAACTGTTTCTAATAACATGGAAGGTTAGAGAATAATGTTAAAAGTTTCAACTCAAAGACCTGGTTTCCTGTGTTGGCCCCAGTCCTAACACTAAATGTTAACACAACAAGCATTTTTACATCTTCATTTTAAAGAGAAATTAGGAGGCAGATACACTCCAATTGCAACAACATCCTGTTCCTTTGTGTGTGAACATATACAGGGTGCATTTCCGACAGAAACTCACTGTGCTTTCACTGTGTCCTTTAGAATTTCTCCATTTGCCCAAATTCATTGAAGTCTCAACCACACAGCTGACAGATTTTTCAGCATACAGTCACAGCTCAAACAAACATGTCTTCAAAGAATAGTGGGAGATGGCATTAAAAATGAAAACCTACTCTTGTTCTATGTTCCTCAACCTAACAAGCACATCTCCAAGGCCAGAAGCTCACAGTAGAATGTATCAAAAGCACTGGGCTGTATGACTTACACCATTCATTTACCTCAACAGTTCTAACTATCTAACTATCTGAGAATATACTCCAGGTGGAGAACAAGTCACGTTACCCTAAACATGTTCACTGTGGATTAAGGTGATGCAGTCCCAATTAGGTTGGCCAGCAATTCAAAGCTGCAACCTCAACTGATGTAACTCATTGCAACTCGATCACCTCTGTCTATAATCTTCAGCTCTCTGCAACTAAACTGCCCTAAGTGCAAACTCTGGTTGACAGTGACAGCCCCAAATAGAAAGGCACACCCAAACAAGAGGGTGGTTTGGCCATGAAGAGTTAATGTACTAGCTGATCCCTATCCCTACATTTTTTAGTAGTATTGACTTCAGAAAGTTCAATTGCTATATGCAGAATACATCTTCCAGGCTCAGTCCCCAGCAAATAAAAAGTTTCTAACAAAATCTGACAGCTTTTTAAAGTCTATACGAACATAAAAAGGTTTTAAATCTGAAACTCTGTAATTCGAGCATCCCCATCGCTCAAATCAGTCTCTAGACTGTATTTCTGCATATACAAACATCAAGGACCAGGAAAACAGTAGCTACAGAGGGAGGGGAATCTTCACCGTGGTCCCTCTCTACCAGGGCAGAGCTCTAGAGCAGCACAGGGAGACCAGGATTTCCAGAGTCTGCACAGCACCTCATAGGTGGGCAGGACTTCTCTTCCATGACATTTAAGTTGACACATCTCACCAGCACAAGGCATTTCTACATGACCAAAAGAAACATACAGGAAAAGATTTTGCAGTCCAATGAAGGGTAAAAACTCTCAGCTGCTGTGTGTACAACCAAAAAGCATATCCAAAACTCTTCCCAAAAAGGGGAATTTCAGGTCTTGTAGGGTGTGACTCTCCAAGGCTTGGCAAAGCCACTTATAACCTCACCAAAGTTCAATATGACTAGGAGTGTTTACAAGCACAAGAACCAGGCCAAATTCAGAATGTAAATATTTGGATTCAGTTCCCCAAACTTGCCTCTATCTGCACTGCCAACTAAATCCCAACTGCAGACCAAAGAATCTGAAAAGCAACAGTTGCATACACTTTATAGCACACAGACAAAACTAACACACATGGCATTCAACACTGGAAAGGAAAAAAAAAATCCTAATTCATGATCGAAACTGATTTTATGTTAAACAAGACATCAATGAAGTCTGGACCAAAACTCAACTCCGTTATCATTTGTTACATTTTAAAAGCCTGATCAGTCCAGATGTTGGCCCTTTGGCCTCAGGAGAGTGGGTTACATTAGCCATAGTTAGATTACTCAAAACCCCGTGGATAACATGATGGCTCCAGCACACAGTGGTAACTTTGCCCCAAACCATATTCTCTTAAGCCATCCAAAGCGAGTACTTCCATTTTTCAGGCAGATGCATTGCCTCAGTCCCATATTCAGAATTGATTTAGGATCACAAATCACCCAGAGTTGTCAACACCCATGCTTTTTTCTTTTCTTCTAAGTTTTATTCCAGTTCTTTTTGGTATAGGTAAGGATGGCAACCATTCAAGAGACTTTTGACCTCACACAAACACCGATTCCAAGGGATACACCATATTTTCAGCTCCCAGTTCCCAGACCTCCTCTGAAAGTGTTAAATGCCTTTCAGTCCTACATCTCCATTGCAGTCACTCTCTGGAGGGAATCAGAAAGGCAAGGGTCACATCAAGACCAAGCTTTTTTTTTTTTTTTTTTTTTTTAATGATAAGTATTTGGGCCTCCTCACTCCCACTACTGTAAACTAACAAAAAAATCCACCCTTTCACTCTTCAGTTAAGTGGGAAAAGCACAAATCTGGTTCTTTCGCTTTACTCAACTGTGGGAAACTTGGTTTTGCTTTCCAGTTAAAAGCAGGCTCTTCAGCGCACTTCACACTGACCTCTTCACAAGGGGCTAGTACCATTTCTTTAAATGCCCCTACACTAAAAATAGTCCTGCTTCCTAAACATGAGTGTTTTGCTGTTCCAGGCATTCTGAGATCCTGCATACCACTTTATTTTCTTTTTTTTAAACTGGCAACATTTATTTAACCAGCAATTAAAAAAAGGAGGCCCAGCCGCCCCAGTGATTCTTCCCAGAGGGTCTTAGATGTTTATGAAACACAATGAAAACAATAAAGTGGATAAAATCATGCTATTCCATCAAGTCCTTGGCAAGACTTCCCAACCAAGAATAAATTGGCATGGTATGTTACAGTCAACAGATTACACAATGGTTTACAGGGTCACCAATAATAAGGGGTCACACGCTCCTTAAAGAGCTCCAGTATATGTTAAGCCACTTGCTTAAAGGGAGAGAGCAATGGTTGGTCCTGAGCTCCTTGGAGCACATTCTGGCAGCCACAGCACAGACATGCTGCGGGGGTAGGAGAGGACAGAAGGCAACACTCCTCCACCCCTGAGCCAGGAAGGGCAGTGACTGCACTGTGCAAGCTGGCTGAGGGAGTTTAGCACCCTGAAGGGAGTAGCAAAAAGCCAAGCTAGGCAGGGCTCTCCTATTTCTGCATAGGAGAGGAGAACACATGCGACAGACTTTTAGGAACAGGACAGTCTCCATGTCCCAGTGAGGCCCAGCACCACCATCCCTATCACCTCTTCCTAAGAAGTCCCACTTCTCACTCCATGATCTCAGAGGAAACTGATTCCACTCCAGAAGCAAGATTTCATCACTTCCATGTCAGTCTAACCACTCTTAGTTCTTAGCAGTTGCTCTTAGACTGTAGCTAACTTTAAAAGGTGCTTGACTATACTCTTAGGTAACTTGTTGAAGTCATCACAATTGCTTAAATGTGTTGTTTCCCTTTAAATTACTGATCTTACAGCAAGAGGGAAATGAATGGTCAAACCCTTACATCTTACTGTCAACCTGGTTACAGATTTCTACTGTGTCACCTGCATAACCTGCATCACCACAATGAAAGTTAAATTTTGATGTTCCTAAAACCCACATGACTTTCTCAAATCTCTCCTTAAATGATACTCCGACCTTGTTCTGTTAACTTACCCTTCCACTACATGGAATATTTTCATCTACTAACTATAAATTAATCATGTATAAACAAAACATTATCAAGTCTTAATGGCAAATCAGCCTCACTTCAATTCAACTTATCATCAAATATCAGACTACAACTAATGGTTTCATCCTTCATCTTCCACAGGTTTTGATCACTCTAGATGGTTTTTATTGGATTATTCACTATACAGCTGAAGTTAAACTCAGTATAAAAATGAAAGAAAACCTATTCCCCAAATTCAGTACGACAGTAGAATAAGGGTGTAGAAAACACTACTACTAACATACTCCATGTAATAATACTATGCATCCGGTTTCATTTAGCTTGACTACTAAATTCAAAGTCCATTTGAGAGATAAAACACAAGTAAACACAAGAAGGCTCCTACTCATGTGTAGCCACTACTCTTTGATTGCAGTGACCTTAGTAATGCAAACGTTTGGTACCAAGCCAAGAGCAGTACATCTGATTTTCCCACCAAGTGAACTGCTGAAGCAGCTCCCTTAGCTCTTCGGCCAAGTCCGTCTTGGGATCCTAAAGTCTTCCGCCGGAGTCCAGGTGGCTCCTCTACTCTTTCCAACACGCACGCAAACACTGCAGCCGGCTGGACAGACGCTGCGAGCGGGCATTGGAAGGCAAAAGCGGTGCCGCAGCTCCCCGCCTGTCCCCAGAGCAGAGCCCCGCGCTCGGCGCGCCGGCTCTCCAGGCGGGTTGGAGTTACCCCAATCCCACCGAGGTGGTCTCCCGGGCTCTGTCCCTCCGCGGTGCCTCTGCCCACGCCACCCACGCAAAAACCAGCGTCCCGCGGGCACGGCGGCAGCTCGGCGCTCCCCAGCGCGGGAGCACCGACCCCGCGCCCGTCTGCCCTCCCCCCGGACAGGGCAGGGCAGGGCAGGGTTCCCGCAAGGAGAGCGGGGCCAGCCCGCACCGGCACAGACTCCGGCGGCTCCGCTGCCCCGGGGCGGTCCAGGGGACCCTCGGTTCCCGGGGAGCCCCTGCCGCCGCCGCGCATCCCCGGCCCGCCCCGCTGGCGGGAGGCGGGCGGCTCTCGGCGTGCAGGGACGACGACCAGGACCACGACCGATCGCTTCTCTCCCGCTTCCCTGCCCGGGTCCATCCCCCCCACCCCAGAAGTGACCACCGCCCGGCAGCGCGGCTCCCTGGCCCTTACCGAGGCGCGCAGGGATGCGCTCCCTCCGCCGGCCGCCTCCAGCCCCCGTTCCGCAGCCCTGGCGATTGTAGCTTTTTTGGAGAAGCTGGGAAGAGGGAAAGAAAGGGGGGGAGGGAAGGGGGAGGGAAGGGACTGAGATCGAGGGAGAGAAGTATGCAAAGGCAGGAAGTGGAGACGGCCACGGCCAGTGCGGGAGATTAATGGGAACCAGTCACCCGGCAGCCAACAAAGAAACCTGCTCCCACGGCGCGGCGCAGCCCAGCCGGGCTGCCCCGGGCGCACCAGATGCCGCTCCCGCCGGCAGCGCTCGGTCCCGGTCCCGGCCCAGCGGAGGGGTGGGCGCCCACCCCCCCGGGCCCCAAACCCGGGTCCTGGCCAGGCGGGAGGGAGGAAGGGGAGCAGCACGGTGGGACCCGGCCAGTCCGCGGGGAGACGCGATGGGCGGAGGAGGGGAGGACTGAGCCCCTCGCCCGACAGCCTTCCTCCTCCCTTTAGCCCGGAGGGGCGACACCATTTATTTTTTATTTAAAACACTCCGAGCGCTGCGCTCCTCTCGGCGCGGAGCCGCTCGCGGGGCAGAACGGAAGGAAGGACGAGAGCGGGCGGCCCTTCCTGCGCCAGGCGCGGGGCAGATGGATCCCATCAGGGCGCCGGGAGCGGGAGAGCCCCCGGGGCCTTTCCCGAGCTCCGCGGGGTAGCTCGAAGCGACAGCACCTGTGGAGAACGAGTGGGGAAGAGGGAGCCAGCGGCTTGCCTCTGGACTTCATTCCGGATACCTCGGTTCAGATCCAGCCTGCTGGGAGCAGCTCCTGGCAGCAATTTGGAAAGCTCTGCTCCCTCGGGAGCGCAGCCCGCGGTGTCCCGTTGGCACACCGGGACACAGGGCATTGCACGTACCAGGGGGTGAAGAAGGTCTGTGTGTGGTACAAGCAATAAAGCACATACTCCACGCAGGCCACCAACAGCATTGCGCGGGCCACCTCCCTGGCACCCGTGTGGCTTCTGATGGTTTGGCAGATGAGAAACCTGCACAAAATATAAATTGTGCAGGTCTGATATATAAAGTATGTAAAATTGACTGATATAAAAAAGTATACTGAAGAGGCAGGATACTGGCTGTTAGCAGGACCATGAGTATTGTAAAATACTAAGATCGCTCCTAGATCTTGAAGTATTATGTAGGCATTTATAAAACAAGTCACTTCACAATATATTAACCAAATGATACTAGGTACAAAAGGAGAAAAAAAAAAAAAAAAAGAAGTGACACGTACTCTGCAACTGGAAGTACAGATTCCAGCACTACACATTTCTTGAACTTTAAGCACTTGCTGACTTTCTTTCCAGTGTCTGAAATGGAAGCAAAATGGTGTTCCGTGTTAGGCATATGCTTTTGAGGTTTCTTACACAAGGATACTTCTCTGAACACAGAACCAAGTGCTCAGGATAAAAACTATTCTTGGCTTTTGACACCTCATCAGCAAAATAAAATATATTGTCTTGAGATACTCTGATCCATCATCCCACACAACAAGGAATCTGGTGTCGATGCTCAGCATTTCACAAGCCTCCATTATATTTCAAAAGAGTGAATGTACAGGAAATAAGGATAGCTCTCATCTGGATTCTGATGTAAATGTGTGTTTCAAAGCAAAAGCTATTTCAGCTGTCAGCCTTCTTGAGACAGATGTATTTACTCAGCTGCAAAAGCTGTGTCATCGAACATCAAAAAATGGTGGGAGTTTAAATTTCAACACACAGGGAATAATTCACCTCCTGAACAAGCTACTGAGCAAGCTACAAGTACCTGGCAGGAGTAGCAAACGAATGGTTCTCTCCCTGTTACGAAAAGGACATAGGAGGGCCTTTCCAAGTATATTTCACAAGTGCAGCCAGACAGCAACACCACCCACCTTTCCAGGAGACCATTGCTAACAAGGAAGGATGCAAAGAAAGATGTTCAGCTTCCAATTAATCAGGAAGCAGTCTATTCCAGCTGCTTCTCCAGCCCATCAAGCATGCTAACATTGCTTTTATCAAATATTATTTTTCTCCGCTGTTTATGCTTCATTCAGTTCCCCCTACCTCAAGTACTCCAGCAACTGCCTAAACTTTCTTGTGAGTACAGGAGACCAATCTTAAGCTGTATCTGAACACTGAGCTGGGGTTTGAATGTGTTTTAATGAACAAGCAACCTGCAAAGGGCTTGTTTATTACAGCGACCTGGCTGCTGCTCTTGGTTAAGCAACTGGAAGATGATAATAAAAGGTGAACTACGAGGGGATTATTCTTCCAGTTTGCCAAAGAGATTACAGCTAGCAAAGCTCTTGATGAGAATGGAAGACTTGCAGAATCGGGGCCTCCATGTTAACCTTGGTCATACGGCACTTAAAGAAAGTTTCTGGGCTTATTTTGCCTTTCCCATCATCACCTCAGGGCACACGGGGTTAGCGAGGCCTCGGGGTGGCTCTGACTCACACGGAGCCGCTTCCCAAGCCCATCTGGCGACTCCAAGCGGTGACCGCGGCCTCGCCGGAGAACCCTGCCGGGACAGACCCAGGTGCCGGGGAGAGGAGCGGACCGGCTGGTTCGGCAGCCCCTGCTCGCAGGGGGCCGAAACGCCGCGCGGTTTCTGTCACCGACCCAGGTGAGCGGGTTTTCCCTCGGGGAGCGGATGCAGGTGCTGCGCCCTCTCGCCCGCACCCCCCTCGCCCAGCCGGACATCGCCGCCTCCGCCATCGCCACCCTGCGCCTCGCAGGTCTAAAACGAAAACCCGCATCAGGCGGGCAGCCCCGCTCCGCTCCGCAGGGACCGCGGGGTGGAGGCCGAGCCGGAGCTCCCCGCACCGAGGCTGGCCGGGGCCGTGTCCCTCAGGATCTTGGATCCTTCCAGGCGCTCGCAGCCGGGGCGGGGCGGGGCCGCAGCGCCCCCTATCGGCGGGGAGGGGGCGTGGTCCCGCAGGGTGGGGCGGGCAGGGCGGGGCGGGGCGAGCGTGCGCGTGCGCAGGCGGCGTTGGCGGCGCGATGGAGGTGGCGCGCGCGGGGCGCACGGCCGGTCTGGCGCGCGATGTGCTGGAGCGCGCGCGCCGGCGCGCGGGGACCCCGGGCCCGGCCCCGGGACCGGTCAGTGACACCGCGGCCCGCTCCGCACTCACGGCTGAGGGGCCGCGCACCGGCGAGCCCTAACCAGCCTCCCAACACGCGCTTGGTCACTGCCTAACACACCCCCGCCCCGCGTTTTAGCTTCTTTTGGAGGCCGCGGGACAGCGCTGGGCCCCCCGGGGCCGTGCCACCCCAGGGGCAGCACGGAGCGCTTGCTGTTTGACCCCTTCGTGCCTCTAAGCAACGAGCACAGCGCTGGGTTACAGACAGTGTCTTTAATTGCAGGAGGAAGAATCCGAGCGTCTCAGTGCAGCCTTCGATTCGATCGTGAAGCTGATGGGTAAAGCCTCAAGGGAATGCGAGGTGAGGTTTCGCCCCCAGACCCGTGCAAAGGGGAATGTTCATGATGCGCCCGGCAGGCACCACTTTTACTGAGAAAATTAGACCTCGGTTTTGCTCATTGCATGGAGGGAGTTCAGCCAGTGAGCCTCTGATGCGGGCCCAGATGAAGACATTTGCGGCATTCACCATCATGCGGTAGCAGGGTACACGGCGGGTTTCAGCGGTGTTATCGCACCTGAGCTGATAAACACCACTGTCAGCATTTCCCACAGACAGCACCGGTAGCCTGGTACAGATTTTAGCAGAGGGTTTCTCCACTTCTTGATGGAAAGGCAATACTGTCCGAGAGGCAGAAATGTCAGGTGACATCAGAATTACATTGTGTCAGCCCATGCGCAGGTTTTTGTGTCACAATGTATGGAGTGTTTTCAGTGCTCCAAAGTATCTCTGCTGTGGAGTGGCTTTATGACATAGTAACTTTGTTTCCATCAAGCCAACGTGAACCACTCATGCTGGCTGAGTGTGTTCCAGGTGGTGGAAGTAAAGGGAAGTTTGAATCTCGAGCAAAGAGATTGTTTTACGTCATGCTTTTCCTCTGAATTTAGAGTTAACCTCCCCGGTATTGTGATTTAACCCACCAGCAACTAAGTACCAAACAGCTCATTCCCTTCCCTGGCCCCCTACCCTGGTGGGATGGGAGGAGAATCAGGAGAAAATAAAACTCGTGGGTTGAGAGAAGAACAGTTTAATAATTGAAACAAAGTAAAATATAATAACAGTAATTATAATAGCAATAATAATTGTAATGAAAAAGAGACAAAACCCAAGAACAAGGGATGCACAATACAGTTGCTCACCACCAATGCCCAGCCAGTCCCCAGACAGCGGTCAGCCCCCCCAGCCAACTCTCCCAGTTTATACTGAGCATGACAGTCCATGGCATGGAATATCCTTTTGGCAAGTTTGGGTCAGCTGTCCTGGCTATGCTCCCTCCCATCTTTTTGTGCACCTTCCTGCTGGCAGAGCATGAGACACTGAAAAGTCCTTGACTTAGGGTAAGCACCATTTGACAACCAAAACATCAGTTTGTTATCAACATTATACTTGTAACAAATCCAAAATACAGCACTGTACCAGCTACTAGGAAGAAAACTAACTCCATTCCCAGATGAAACCGGGTCAAACTCGATCTGGGATGTTGCCACTGGATGAGGATCTGGGCTCAGTTCTGAGCAGCACCATATCTTTGTGATAAGTAGAAATGGAGGGGTATGGCTTACAGATGCACAGCTCCGCTGCTTTCACGCTGGCTTTGGCTGCCAGGTGTCATTGCTCCATGGGGTGGATGGACCAGAAGCCCAACCTCTGCCAGCTCATCCTTGTGAACAAAGCCCTGCAGCCCAACTGCTGCGCTGAAGTCTCTGTGAACTCCAGCGCAGTTCACACCGGCTGTGCCCCTCGGGAGCTGGTATAACGCAGCAGGGAGATCGCTGTCTGCAGAGTCAACAACACAGGCTAAGTCTGCAATTACATTAGAGAAAACAGTAGTTCATCACACCAAATGATTAGATCTTAAGCAACTCCTCTATCATTTGAAAGCACTACACACACAGTAACCAGTTAATCCTGAAAACAACTCAGGCAGAATAGAGTTTTACACAAGATGAAACAAAAATACAAGTGTATAGAGATCCATCCTCAGCAGTAGACTTGGCAGTGCTAAGTTTAGGGTTGGACTGTATGATCTTAAGGGTGTTTTCCAATCTATATTATTCTATGGGTCTATCTTATGGCCTGTTAACAGCAACAGAGTTGGAAAAGCAGTGAATGATTTCCACACTTATGTATCAGCCAACACAGTACTGCTTCAGTCATTTCTGTAGAGAAGAACAGTCATAAAAGTGGGGAATTGTCAGACCTATAAGTTCACGGATAAAGTTTAAAAAGCACAAATAAAAATCCCCACCTGAACATAACCATTTGGGCACTTAAATACAAACAATTAAAATTGGGATTTAAGATGAGTTGTTTGGGGACCCAAGTTTACCCCTCATTACTCACCAGAAGTTTGATTTAATTTCTTTGCTCTGTGCCATCATGTAAAAGAATCCAGCTCACCTCCTGTGATACAGAGATATGCTGCAAAGGATTATGCAATAGGCCAGAGCATTTGATGCGTTTTGGGACGTGGCTCTACAGAAAGCACAGCACAAGCAACCAGATCTGTTGATTTGTGCATAAGCTCGAGGAATAAAGCATAGCAGTAGATCTGGAAATAATAATTACAACTGGCCTTATTTTTGTTATGTTTAGTCCTGACAGTGCGGGTCAAGGAAAACATAAGTGAAATAAAGTAGATATTTTGGAACTTTTTGGTCCCTGTGATCAAAAAGTTAACCCTGGGAGGAGTTCTTTGGTGACAACAGATGGCAGCAGAGCTGTACTCTAATATTTAATTTGCAGTGGGGAAGGTTCCAGCACCTTTGCAGCTGAACCAGAAGAGGGCTGCTATGGACTTAAATACAGTTCTCAAAACTGCTGTGCTACTGGTGCCAGCCTTGAAGACACTTTAGGTTCTTTACTGACTCAGTTTTAACATGTTCTGCTTTTAGAGTGCTGCTCCTGCATGTGCCCTGCAGAACCAATCTTCACTGGCTAGGTTGCAAAGCACCCAGCTTGCATATATGTCCTGTTAAGGACCCATAAATTGTGCCTTCCTCCACCAGAGCTTTTCTTAAAGAGCCTGATCAGGAAGGTATTTCCAGAGTATTCCTTCTGACATTTTCATGAGTTCAGTTCTGAGGTGCCAGAGTCCCTCCCTACGTCCTGGGTCAGGAGACAGGCTTCTAAAATCAGGGCTGACAGTCTTGTACCATAAGGCAGGTGTCCTGTGGACATCCAGGCATTGTTCTCATCCTCACAAGAGAACAAACCAGCCAATTAATACAGGAAGTCAGTCGCTGTGCGGTTCCACTTCCAACTGTAAATCTGCAGTAGCTGTGAGTATGGCCTCTGATGCCTCCCCATATAATACTCTGTTTCTGTTGTTGTGCAGAAGTACTATAGCTTCGTGGGAGCCCCGAGGTGCAAAGAGCATGAAATTAAACACATCTGCAAATACCACGGCAGGCAAGCAGAGGAAAGAGACGTGGAAGAAGAGGTAAGTAGGTACTTTCAGTTTTGATTTAAGGTTATTCCTTCCCTTGCAATGGGATAATTGTTATCCATCCGTCTCTGACAATGTACGTAGGTTGACAGTATGGACTTAGGAACATATGGACTGACCTAAGCCTTCTGTTGGGGGGTGGAGATAGTAACTTCTGGTGGCACCAAGCAGTGTCATATCAGTCCTTTCATGGACGGGAAAATTTCCTGCTCGTGACACATCACCTCACTTGGGCTGGAGGTGTTGTATCATTAGAAAACTATCTTTTTCTTTCCAGAGGACTGAAGCTTCCAGAGCACCCAGTCGAGCTCAAGCTTGCCAGCAACGTGTAAGTTTATAGAATACTTTGTTTTTAAATGGAGGTATTTGATAGCATTTCTTTATCATCGTTTTGCATCAAGCTGGTTAAAAACTGTGACAAATGTGGAGACTTTGATGACACAGAAGATTAACGAGTAGTGCATTCCCAATCCTTATGTACATATAGGCAGTAAAATGGGCACATAGAGAGTTGCACAGTTCATTAGAAGCCAGATTGTGGCATTCTGGCACATAACCAGTGAAGAGTCTGTACCAGTTAGACTGGTACAGAACATGAAACACTGATAAAGCTCTAGGCTTTTGTGAATTACATCAGCAGCAGTAAGGCAGCACTTCTCCAGTCTCACCTCACTTGTGATCCTTGAGGAAAAGTGTGCAGCAAGGCACACAGCAGTTGCTTAGCCACTTACTCTTGGCCCTCACACAGGCTCTCTGAAGACTCCTGTTCCTCCAGGAGAAGAAATCTGGTTTTATTTTTAAGAGCCTAACACCTCACCAAATCAATTTCAGGAACTGCTAAGCCACAACAGACGAGAAACACAAAATTTGTCCCACAGTACAAATTAGTGGGAGCACCCTTGTCATATGGACTGTTTTCCAGGTTTATGTTCAAAACTGTCTAGGTTGGTAACTTTCCGTTTTGTGAGACATAGATTATGGCACATTGATTACTTCCACAGATCAAGACATTATATTAAATACTTCAAGTATGGCACTTGTTAATTTTTGTACTGACAGGAACATTTCGCAGTTTTGTCCATGCTGATTTTGAAAAATCTTAGTAAGTTTATATAGCAGCTGAAATGTAATTTTTTTTAACCAAATTCAAGATTTTTATTTTTGTGGGAAATCTAGGATGACTAACCACTAATAAAACTTTTTTTTTTTTTTTACCTCCTAAAGACCAGACAAGCTTCCAAAGACTTGTATATCGAAGTTTCTCCTGGCATCTACTCTGTCACAGCGATCTCAGACGACATGGTGCAACAAACCCTCGTAGTAGATGTCAATGCAGGACAAAGTGTTGATGTAACTTTTGTTCTGTGATGTTTGTTGTTTCTTGACATCACAGGAATAAAATACGAGGCTCTTTTTACCGTGTGTAATGAACTATAAATAACCTTTTCTTCTTAGCACTTTAATAGCAGCTTCCTCTTTGGGACTCCATTTTTATGGTCTGTATATTTGTTTTCTACTTAATGCAATTATATGCAACCCACTTTGTACACTGATTTTATAAATATTTGTACATTGTGTGCCTTTTAAATCCAATTATGTGACTGTGTAATTCTAGATTCTTCTGCTTTAAACAATTAAAGATACAATCAGTGGAATAAAATACATAATCAAGCCTTTGTGATGACTGGTTCTTTTATATTATCCTCAGACAGAACCTTCACGTAGCATTGTGGAGTACAGAAAGCATGATCCATGTGGTATGAATATGGATGTACATTAGCTTCTGTAGGATGGCACTGATTTTAGAGCAGCTGGCTCACAATCCATTCTCTTTTCTGTACTTTTACTGTTCTAGTAAAGAAATAAAATGTAAAAGGAATTCACTACCTAGGACCCCAGCTCAGAAAGGTGCTTGAATATGTGTCAGATGTTCAGAGTAAAGGCACATAAAGTATTGACCCCTCAAGTCCTGTTTCTTTGCAGACCAGGCTCAACTCCAGTTAGCTGCCTTTTCTGAGGGTGGTGGGGTACCCTGAATTATCCTATTTCCTGCAGGGGAAAAGTACTGCTGAGCACCTGCAAACTGCAGCTTACAGCCAAGTTCACATGCTTTAGACATGAGCATTCCTGCTAACTAAACTCCCTGGATGCTTTACTTTCCTAAAGGATCAGGTTCCACGTTTAGAAATAGTGATGTGACCTATATAGATCTGTCATCTTTTTGTAGCTGATGTATTAAGGTTTCAGTAATTTTCATCAGAACATAAACCAGTGACTTGAATGCCGGGTCTCTAAGCATTTTGTTATTTGTTTCTACAGTAGCAGGTCTTTTACCCTCTGGCTACTTTGTCTTCTGCTTTAATCCTGAAAAATATACTTTCAGCTGTCAACTTGTATTGTTTCTGCATTCCTTCTGGCTTTCTACTAACAGAAATTGCTTTCCTGAATTCCTTTGACTCACTCCAGAGAACTGTAGACAAATTGGAGGTTTATTGGACTCTTGCTGTGCATCTATTCAGGCTTTTAGTGCTCATAGTAGTTCATCTGATCTCTCCAGAATTGAAAAGTCAAGTTTAAATAGTTAGGAATTTAATATCACACCTTGGAGTACAGAGTGAGAATGCTGAAGTTTGATGTGCGTGGAAATAAGAGTTTCTTGGTATTAAAACTACATAGTCATCCATAAAGATATTCTACTGAGACAGTACCTAAATCAGAACTTGATTTGCTTAATAAGTACAATGCTGATAGAGTATAAGCAGCTTACCTGAAATTTCAGTCCCTGAACTTCATCAGTTGTACATGTACTGAATTCTTGTTGATCGTGTTTGTCTCTTTGTTGCAAGCGAGCTCTGACATGGTCTGTAACATCAAGTTTGTCATCTCCCACGCAAGTCGCTTTACATTTATCATCTGACGCTCTTTTGTTTCTTCGTTTTTCTGATGCTGCAAAACCTTCTTCCTGGAGGACAGAAAACAAATCCCTTGGAAATCTAGGCTAAAAAAAGCATCAGTGTCTTTCTTTGTTAACTGCTGCTTTCCTGGCTGTACCTCTGCCTCACGTAGCTTTAACAATGGTATATTTTCTGTGCTAGTACAAACTTTACTGCTGAAAAAGAGAATTGTGCAGGAAGACCAAAGGATTTTCAGAAGCTGTTAGGCTTTGATTAAAAACTTTGCTACCTTAGGAGGATTTTTGTTGACTGCAGAGAGAGGACATCAGCCCCCCAGAGAGCACCTCTGGGAAGCCTACAGTCTAGCTCCACTTGTTTATTGCAAGTCACTTCTGATGCAGCGTGTATCACATGATAAAGCTGCCTCAGCTATCTCAAAGAGTAGCAATGTATCTTCTGGGTTTAAAATCACCAAGGGCTATTTTACAGGAATAAAAGTATGTCATGATACTCTGTATTACCACATTGTGCCCACTGCTGTGGTTCATGCTGCCCGTTTGGGGATAGAATTTAACAATTCTGGTTTCTCATTAGTTTTGCCACAAGGCAAATCATGTCACTTCACCGCACAGCTGTGACACTTGCTAACATACAGCATGTCTGCCTGAAGCTCCACACTAGCTTGTAAATGAATTAAAAAGGTGTGTAATTATGATTATTTAAATAATAAAGTAGAATAGAAAGTAGGAGCCATACAGTTAATAAGTTGGTAAGCATCTGCTTAAAATGAATGCATATAAGTATGAGAATACAAGACGTCTTCCAGTATATTCTCTGTTCAGTAAGACATGTCATTAACAGATTCATCTTCTCCTAAATGTGCACAGTTAGAATGTTCAAAGTTTTTTTTGCAGTCAGCTCACAGTAGCAAGAGCATGAAGGTACAGAGGAGCTAATATTTTATTTCTAATATATAATTTATTAATTGTAACCCAGATGCTCTTGTGCTGACGTTCTCTTTCATCTTCCAATTCTTCCTGTAAGATTTTTTCTTCCTGTTTTCTGTGCTTGCTTTTTTTAGCATTCATGTTCTGAATTTTTTTTCCAAGTTTTTCTAAAGCAGGAGGGGATCATGGCCAACAGAAACCAGGCCTAAAAACCAGGGTGTCGTCCTTGTTCCTAGCTGTGACACAGTTTGCTTACTCTGTATCCCCAGCTTTAGAGTAGGGATCTGCTGTTTAAACTGCTTGCTTCTTGCAAGGGAGTAAGAGAAGAAACTCAGCAAAAACTGCGTACTAAATAATCCACTTTTATCTTTCAGAGACAGAGATTGTGACAATCAGAATTTGACTGGCAGAGCTCAGCACCTTTACAGATTAGAGTCTTTCCTTGTGTTTTATTGCTGCTGACAGTCACATCTGTCCATTTCTAGGGCCACTCATGTAGGTCCCTACTTCCACAGGACTTCACTGAGTTGCTGTCAGTGGGCATTTGGCAGGTTTCTGAACTGAACTGGGCATTATTGAATGCTCACACGGTTACTGGCATAATCAGTTCTATTTTACCAATAGATTGGTAAAAATACCCTTCCTTAGGGTTTGGGAATTTTTGTTTCCTGTTAGTGAAGTTTCCTACCTATCAGAAAACAGGTGGATGGCCTTAGCAAAGCAGGTAAGTTAAAAACCATGTAGCTTTCTTCCCAGCTCCCAGACCATTAATGAGAATATCTTTTCCATTCAAACAAACCTCATGCTTACATAACTACACTATTAATAGAGATTACCTTACCCCCAATGATGGCTTGAAATCTTGGTCTCTTAAGATTTCTTTCATTGTGAGTTGCCCTCTGGGAGACAGCTCAATGGTTTCAAACATTGCACTCTGATTAGCTGGGGCCACACGGGATGTGTCCCCAGTGGAGACGGCTTTGGATTCCAGCTTGCCCTTTGTACATGTGCTGCTGCAACTGCCAAGTCCTGGGAAGGAGTAAAATTGTATGGAAGAGTAAAACCAGAACTGAAATGGAGAATCATTTGTTTCAGAAGAGAGAAAATGCAACTTAAGCCTGACAGGAATTTTTCCAGGTTATTCAGCATGGACTAGCTATGCAGGTTAACGAAATTAATTGTTGTGGTATTCTTCCATGAGATGAGGTGCTAAATGCCAGATGAGGCAGCAGAAACACTGGGGAGGGAGAAGTATTTTATCAGAGACTGACATGCAAATTTACAGTACTAATACCAATAACCTACAAGCAAAGTGAGTGCCCTGCCCAGAGCACATTTGGTTTTGTTGCCTCCTACTGCTCCTTCCCTGTGGGGGTGTTAAAAGGTACCTGGATTACTGGATTGTGACTTGTGGTGGCTTCTTTTCCAGTATTTCCACTGAGGTCTTGCAGAATCCTTTAGCTTGGGCTTTTCAAGACAGCCACAGCCTGCGTTAACAGCACTGTCCACCACAGTACTCCTAGTGGGGAATGCCTTCAGGTCCCACCCTGAATCAGAGGAGGCTGAAGATGTAGCCACAGATGCAGCTGCTTCTTGGTTTGTGCCTTCCAGTTCTAGAAGGTATGGAGAGGGCTCACTGCTGGACTCTGCCTCTTCAGATTTGTTCTGAAAGACCAGAGACCTGGGTGGAAGAGGCCACCAGGCACCAGCACGGGGGTGACAGCAGCAGGTGCACCTTACACACACTGACAAACAGCACATGCCACCACCACAGTGGCAGTGGAAACGTGGCCAGCAGGGTGAGCAGAGCAAGCAGTGCTTGGCAAGGCTGTGTCCAGCACAAACAGGAATCAGGGCTAGTTTAGGACTGCAGGGAAAAACACAAGAATTAGCATCTGGGCTTTCTCTGGGCTTCACCCTGCTGGTGAAGGGCATGTGGATCATCTCTACAATCCTCTCCCACAGGCCAGAAGGGATCCACAGAGCCACATTACGTGGGAGTTTCACTTTCTTATCATTCCAGAACTGGACTATAATTTCTTCATCTTCTGAGGCTGTTAAGAGAAAAAGTAAGCAGCCATAAGCAGCTGGCCTGCCTGGGCTGTGCACATACACAGATGAGGCTTTGCAGCCCTCTACTCTTTCTACTCCTGTCAAGCAGCAGGATCAACTATCACCCCTCTATAGCATCTGACCATAATGTTGTGGGGAGTGGAGTGGGCAGGTAGGGCACCATCACTAAAACAACAAGCCTGGCAGCATCTTTCCTCCCAGTTTGTCATCAGATGAACAAGAAAATGTTGACTGAGTAATCTTTGTTGTTACTGCCAAAGTTAGCAGCAATGCTCAGAGAAAAGTATTTTGGTAAGTCAGTGGAGCTTGACTGTCAAATGTGGGAAAAATGAATGAGCTGTTGAAATCTCCTACGTTTGGGTGATAAAATCACCCCCAGATGTACCATTTGTTACAAATGTGAGCATTAAGATCAGATTAATGCTTCCTGAAAGTTGCCTCATTTGTATCCCTTGCGAAAAGGCCACAGTCCTGCACATGGCAGACACAGCCCTGTCCCAGCAACACCCACAGACCCAGATGACATTTGTATGGGTCACAACTTCCTTAGGGTCAGACCGATGAGGTTTTATACACAGATATCCATCAGTAAGCCCCATCAGCTCCTGTAAGCTTTAAGCAACACTAAACTGTACTCTGTGCACTGTTATTCCTCTGGCAGTAGCAGTGACAAGAGTTTATCGTGACAAGGGTTTATCCTGGCAGTTTCAGATGTGTTCCAGAGCAAGATGAGAAGGGAGAGGACAACACCTTTCTTACCTCGTAAGGGGTCCCTTGTCTCAATGCCCGTGAGGATGGTTCCTGGGCCATACCTGGCCATATCTGGCTCCCATGGTGCCAGCACTTTGTCTCCAGGGAGTAAGGAGTGCTTCATCCCATTCACATACTCCAGAATGTCATCCTTTGCTGTTTTTTGCACACACACTGGATGCTTTCCACAATTCGCAAGTGGTTTGGCAAACTCTACCAGGAACATGCCCCTTTCGCTCTGTTACCAAGAACAAAATACCAGCTCCACTGGAAAACAGTCTATAATGTGTCAGGTCATGCAACCCTCAGCAGGAGGCCATCCTGTGCCTACGTGACTAGGCCAAACCCAGCCTGAACAGTAGTTAAATAGTGTGTGGTGTTAGCCCAGCGTTGAGATGGCCAGAAAAATCTTCAAGAGGCTCACTAGAAAGCAGGATAAGCAAAGCATATGCTAGTCACTGCCACTAGCATCTGTATTTCCTTTCCCAAGAGAAAAAGCTACAGACACTGGAACTGGATTTCACAAACACCACCATGCGTGCCAAGTAACAAGGGACACTGAGGCCAATCAGACCTGTTCTTAAGTCATGCCTAAGTCCTTCCTCATTACATACCACACTAACTCTGCTTCTTGGGGGGTTTGTTGGGAATTTTTATTTTCTTTTACACTAAGGCCTGTCAAGAGGCTTTCCATCAACAATGAAGCAAAGCACTTCCCTGTTCTTGAGAAAGAATAGGCTCTTTTTTGTGTTACGTTTGAAGTGCTAACAAACTAATGAATTAAAGCTTTCAAGCCATTGGTGTGTAGCTGGCTCAAGGTGGATGTGTGTACATAAAACACTAACCCTTTTCCTGTGCTATTGATGGTTATGTGTGTACACACAACAGCAGCCCCTACACTGCTTGCAACAGCACTCAGGCTGTCTGAGCCTGGCTCAGTGCCCAGCACCAGCAGAGGCAGAGGGCTCCTCTTGCAAGGTGCACAACAGCACTGCTTTCACCAGGAAAGGGAGTCTGGGGGGCACCCCTTTCCTGCACAAGATGAGGATCCCTGAAACACATCTGCTCAGTGCTAGGGATGGGCTCAGCAAAGGAGGCCGAGAAGAGCATCGTTAGTTTATTTGGGCCTCAGGCTGTGCTGCACACAAGAGGCTCACATGGCTTGTCAGGCTGCAGGAGGTAAGGAACAGCCTGGAATCAGGCATGTTGGGAGCTTTATGAATCAATAAAACCATCAGTTCCAGCTGCCCATGTGATCTGTTCTTTAATTCATGCACCAGCTGAAACCAAAACTGCTACACTGAACTCAGGTGGTGTGTGAGGGCTGCTCCCTATTACCCACACCCATGTTACTGTACCATTGCTCACCTCTATCTCCTCTTTTACTGTACCATGGTAATAAAATCCATCTTGTTCCCTTCTCACCAGCACAGGCACGTTGCTGCCTATGCACACGGATCTCCCCAGTCTCTCCCAAGCCAGGTTGGGGGAATGGAGGCAGTGGCTAATCCATTGGCACCTCGAAGAAAAGAAAATGGATCAGCAGTGAGAGAAGCAGCTTCTGTAGGTCATGAAAACAAATCTTTTAAGATTTAAGAACTGGAACACTCCACCTCATTTTGTAGCACTCCCACAGGCCAAAGAATGTGGGAAGAAATAGAACACTTGGTTCTGCGGGGACAATTCCTTCATCTTGGGAAAAACACATCAGTGCCTGCTTTTACCCAGATTTCTTTGGGTGTAGGTTTACAGGAAGTGAGACAGTAGTCTGCTGGAATCCTGGGCCAGGAATACCTGCACTATCCCTTTGCTGTTTATGTGGTGAGACAATGCAACCCTTCTCCAGCACAGAGCACAGCGTAGGTGTGCTTGAGAATGCTGTAGCTGATGGTTTACTCTGAAGCATTCAGGGAACAGCAAAGCAGAGAAGTAAACAACCAAGCTGCTGGTTGATGACAGGTTCAAGATCAGAACTGGAAAAATAATCCCCTGTCACAAAGCATTAGAAACATTTCACAGAAGACAGCTGCTAATGCAAGATGCTTTTATTTATCCAAATAATATTATAGGAATGTTTCTTTGATAGGAGGCTTACTCAGGCTTTGCTTTTCATAATCTCCAAGGTAGCAAATTACTTTAGTTAAGACCATGTGAAAAACTGCCAGTGCAGGGGTGGGAAAGCTCAAATGATGTTCAAACTGCTAATTTATTAATCTGACACACCAGCCTGATTTATCCTAGTAGATATCATGGGGGGAAAAACCAAAACACAGACTTAAAAAGGAACTTGATTTTACCTCTGGGGGGTGAGGGGCTCTGCGATCCAGGCAGGATACACAACAAAAGAGCTCCTGTAGGTGGGGTTAACAGTTGTTACAATGCTGGAACATGAGAACTTGTCCAGAGCTGGCCTCACACTGCAATACCTGTGACCTGTAGGCAGGAACCCTTCCAAATGAGCCATTCTTGCAAAAGCAGATACCTGCAGGACTCAGTCGTGATCTGTTGGTAGAAAAGAGACAAAGTACTGGCGTTTCTAACACAAGAAAATGTTTTCCAGTGTACCTCAAAAACTCAGTTATTTTTATTACTTGTTTATTCTTGTTTAAAAACACTGAATTCAGAATATTCAGACTTGCATTTGGCCTGATGTACCCATACCACTGCCTTCAGTGATCTTCACTCACCCAAATCCCGACCTGGAAAAGGGACAGAAACACCAAGGGAAATGACATGAAATCTCCAAATGCTATGAAAATCTCCAGAAAAAGAATAACTTTCACCTCCCTCCAACACTGTTTCCCTCTGTAATGTCCAGCTCTCTTTTCTTATACCTACACTCTCCTTTAAAGCTTTCTTGCACACAGTGCCAGCCAAACCTTCACTGTTTTACAAGCTGAGACAGAAATTACACCTGAAGTTGACAAGCTGAGTAAACATGACAGTTTTTGAACGTGATATTATATTACAGTTGCCTGTTATTTATTTATAGGGATGTATTAAAAGGAAATATTTTGATCTTTCAGCTGTCCTGTCATGTTTTATAGCAGTAGGATTATGGCTTGCAATGAGAAAGAATGAGATGCTCAGATGTGACAAGTGATAACTATTCAGAGGCTGTCACAGTAAGATCAATGATGTGATGCTATCTCTGGTAATTTTAAAAGATGTAGTAGACAAGCTTCCATTCATATTCCTTTTTCTTTTTTTTTTTTTTTTTTAACATTGCTTAGAAAGGTTTAGCATGTTTAGGGTAAAATTTGCATGAAAATCCAACAGCATAAAACTTAAGTGCTTTATTTTACAAAATGCAGTTTAAGCACTCCTGTTTATATGATATTTTGTCTCTTATCTAAGAAATATCATCTGGAAGTCCTTTTTTGTGGAGACTCTCAGACATACATAAGTTCAGAAAACCAGCACAGCAAACCCAGTAAGAAGAGTGGGTTAACTGCTGCAGAATGCATCTTTAAGTCAGCAAATCAACACAATACATCCACTTGTTTCATAACTATACAGATCCCCTATTATAAAATCAAAACAAGACAGAATCAGTAATACTTTGCAAAGAAAATGCAACTATCACTTCTACGTGAAAGCACATTCTAAAGCCATTCAGCACTGTTACTGCTGAGGGCAGGGACCCCTATTTCTGTACAAAATAAAGGCAACCACGCTATATATTCTGAGATTTTCTTTCTGGATAACTCCAAATAGTTTGACACATCGGAGTTTCAAACTTACCAGCTATTGGAAACAGTGTATCTGGTCGATTTGGATTTCAGCCGAGTGCAGAAATCCTGCCCTTTTGCCTGTTGGGCACAGGAAGCCTTTTGGTGCCAGTGTTTCCAGGTTGCTATGGAGGTTGCCACAGTTGTTACTTCCAGGATTGGACATCCTGACTTTAGCAGTTAAAAACCAGTGGAACAGGACTACCGAGAGGACTTTTTGTCTGCCACACATTCACTCACTGTTCAACTCCCCATGGATTTAGATACTGCACTAAAAGGCTGTAGGAGCAGAGAAGGGATTATAAGAGAGCTCAGTGTCCTCTAGGCCTACTCTTGCAGGGTAAAAACAGCATCAAAGCTACAGTTCAGATTTGAGGGGGGAAAAAAGCCCACCACCACAGGGCATGACAAATAAATTGGTTTGAAATATGAATAGAAAGGCTGAAGCTGAGACAAATCAAGGTCAAGTCGCTTTACAACTTTCTCCTTTCACACTAAGGGAAAGTATTAATGAATTCTACTCCTTTCCTATAACATGCCCCTCAAAAACATGACAGAATATAATGCAGAAATCCACCTGTTAATCTCTGTTGTGATCCCTAATCTTCGTTTCCTCCTTAAAACAGAGTTAACAATCAGGGTTTGATTTTTTGTTTCCTTGGTTTTGTGTTTGTGGGGTTTTTTGGAGGATGTGTGTTTGGAATGCTTAATTGCCTTTCGCAGGCATCTTCCAATTCACTGCTATAAAAACAACATAACAGGGGGGATGACTGCCATTAGAGACAAGGATACATTACTTAAGAAGTCTATAACCATTTTTTGTGCATCCACTGCACATGCTACATGCTCTCGTGCTGTCAGCAGAATTGCTCAACATCAATAATACAATCCCCTTACACAGAGCAAATGTTAAGAACACTTTTACCAGTTGTGAGCCAAACTCTCTTCATCATCTTCACACAAATCTGTTCTACAACACTTAACTGAAACCATCAACAGTATAGAGGAACAGGCTGGGAGGCTGTGGAAGACCAACCCAGACCTCAACCATTATCAGTCAAAGTCCTGAAAAATTTCTGTTGCAGGGTTGTTTTTTCCCCACAGCCAAGACCTTCACAACCTTCTTTATACAGTGTAATGGGTGAGCAGTTCTAGTAATTTTTCAGGGTAGTGACAGCCAAATAAGAATCCAATTTTCAACTAAAATTAGGCTAAGTCAGTAGTTTTCAATGTAATTAAAATATTCATTAATAAGAAAACAATGAAACAGCACATACAAAACTTAATGCTCTTCCTGTGTTCAGTAACTGTTTCAGAAAGCTGCTACCCTACTCTATTTCTCCCTTTTAAACTAAGTTATCCTTTCTGCTGGCATCTAACAACACTCCTTGGAACCTTTAAAAGGGTCTTTTAAGAGAAACACTGGCAATCATGGATCTTTTAATAAAGTGTATGTGAGATTAAACCAGTAACATTACAAAAAATTAGAAGAATCTCAGTCCCATCAATAGGAAGATTTTATTTTAAAGCAAGCAGATTGTGATGATACATAGTTACTTCAACACATAGAGGTGTTACATTTTTAGCTTGGTGATAAATTTAGAAACACTTCCTGATTTTCATGAATTAACTTAGGTCATTCAGCCGAGATTTTCCCAGTGGTCTTCTTCGTATCTAAGTGTAGTTACTATCTGCAAAACTACAGCTCTTGTGTGGGCTGATACTGACGTGTGCTACGAGCTGCTCCCAAGATGTGCCAGGAACACACACGTCATTAATGGAGTGGCTACCACGTTCCCAGACACGGCACCTTTTGCTTGGTCGGGAAGACTTTAGATCGCCTGCAAAAGCTGGTTCTGTTTGTTGATTGCTTTAGGTGCCTGGTTTGGCTCTGTGACATTTTTTCCTGCCACCACAGAATCACTGCACAGAACGGACTGCAGGTACCTAATGTATTTTATTGCAGCACGGAGTGTCTCTACCTTGCTGAGCCGTTTCTCCAAGTATTCCTTGGGCAGGTGATGCCTCAGCTTAGCATAGCCTTCATTGACACACTTAACCCGCTGCCTTTCCCTCTCATTCCTCTTCCTGATGAAAGCTGGCCCATAGGAGTACTCACTTCTGTGGAAACTGGAATGGGGCATTTGGTAGGGAAAGGTACAGGGCTCACTGTAGAAGTTCTCCGTGATGAGATGCTCAGACACAAAAGGAAGGAATGACAAATCTTCAGAGCAAGTGACCTGGTTTGGTGTTTCTGGGTACACGTGCAACGTGACCAGTGGGTCGGCACAGAAAGGCCGGGCCAGTTGTATGCGCTGTGTCTCAGTACAGATGAGGTTACAGCAGCTCTTGCCATCCATCAGGTTCTGCATTTAACCTGGAGACACACAGTTAGTTACATAACAGTTTAAACAACTCTTACTGAACAGTAACAAAAACACCTCACGCAGGCCTACCAACACTTGGCCTCACTGGCATTTTCCAGAAGAGATTTTGAATGCATTTGTGACATTTCAGAAAGGTGTTATAAGATCACAAGATAGAGCGAACAATTTGCCATTTGAAAATACAGAAAGTGTAAGTCAACAACGCTGATTAAAATAATTCACAACAGGAAAGAGCATGCAGTCTCCTTTCACCTCTGATTTTGAAATTAAGAGCATCTACATACTCCACATTGGCCTAGATTGCTCCAAATCCACCAAAACTTACATCTCTACAGAATATAAACAAAGCAGGTCAACATCTGAGACATTCCTTCCACCCCCTTCTCCTGAAAAATCTACAATTCCAGTAAAAGACTCCATATTCATACAAAAAAGCCTTCAAAGTCAAATCATTTTTTCTCTCTATTCATTTAATGTCTCATTTACCCCACTATCTTAAAGAGTTTAAAAACTTGTGCAGAGAATGGATCTCAATCTTAATTTCATGTCTGTCAGGTATTGTATCCACTCAACACATAAAAGGTTTAAAAGAAGTTTAGAGAATTTAGAAAGAAGAATTTCTGCTAAGTCTAACATCTCCTTGGGTCCTCATGCTCCTCCTGCACTCACCTGCAGATTAAACACAGATATGAAATATTAAATACAATCCTATTGATAGAGGACTGTGAAATAATCATTTAAAAGAGAAAATGTATGTCCTAGTAATACTAAGAAAGACTGCACACAGTTCTTGGGGCACTGCTGTAACTCAGACTGGCCTACTAAAACCCCATATCCTCTCTTCAGAGCAGCACTACAGTAGGTGTAACTATTTAAATCATCTTTTCATATTTATTACAAAGATAATCTTGCAGTGGTTTATAGGAAGCTACATTATAATGCCTCCCCAATATCATTATTCAAACAGCTAAATATCAGCATAAGTGATGTAATAATGTAATAATGTAATGACTGTCACCTAATAGCTACTTAAAATACACTTGAAATAACTAGTTAATTTTTGAAGAATTGCTGTGAGCCATCCTCACAGCTTTAAGGCAATACTTGCCTACACAGAATTTATCCAAAAATGGTCTTACTCACCACCATCCACTTGCACATCAATACACTGCTGTCTAAAGCACTTAGGTCATATTACATCCTCTAAAAAGGAAACCATACCTGAATGTTCAGCTAGGTTACTAGACACATCTAGATTCCATACTCACAAAAATCTTGCAAAGCTTCAAATGCTCCCATCACAGCTCCATAACATAAATGGGATCCCCCGAATCCTTCACAAGGATATGGGGATATTGTGATGTTTTCTAATGACTTCATACCTGCCATGTTTATACAGAGAATTTTTACTCAGTATGGACCTGTCCTCACAACATATTCTATGAAAATGCCTCTGAACTCAGTGTTGTCTCTTATTCTAGTGCACACAGGTTTCACAACAGAAATCCTATGAGTTAAGAATTCATTTACAGCAGGCTGTTAGACATGAGTTAAAGTCACATGCATCTTAAACAGGTGCTTACTTAAACAGGAATACACACCCATTTCACATTAATACATATGCAAAAAAATAAGAGGTGAATATACACTCATCATAAAAATCAAAACAGCATCCAGTCATCTTTCCTTTTTCTACTTACGCAGGTTATTGTCTAAAAACTTTCTACTGCTGACAACCTAAAAACATACCTGAAGAAAAAGTCTGCTACACAGCAACAAAAATTTACAGCAAAACATCACTACAGAGTAAGAAATCAAAACCAACACAACTCCTCAAGAAGAGATACCTGCAGTATTTGATGCTTAGTACTGATAATTCTGCTGCACAACAGCATTACATAAAATCTGCTGCCTTACTACTTGCACAAAGTGCAAAATGCAAGTGTTAGGAACATTTTCCTCTTAGACCAGAGACTCACCAATCTTCAGATGGAAGTAAAATCCAAGGAAACAAGACGTGCTATTTTAAGAGTGATGAATACCTGAAAATATCCGAACGATATTAAAAAAAAAAAAAAAAAAGAACAAATTAATGTTCCATTTTTCTTACACCTTATTAAATAAGAGATCATTTTAAACAGGGTTCAGTTCATTAAAGAGCTATGGAAGCATTGCTAGTGAATGGCTGGTAGCAGTGACTTACAAAATCACTGATACTCAGTGAAGATCTTGGTTAGATACAGCAACATGCAAGTCTCTTACCTGAATTGTGTCGCTTGTTCCGCTGAGTCAATGACTGCTGCAATTTATAGTCAATTGACAACATGCAAAGTAGCTTACAGTTAGATCTGCTCATTTCTGGTTGGGCTCTTCCACCCACACCACAGCTATGATGGCAACAAAACTTGGCACCAAGGGCTAGAAATTTTCAAAGTGTTATTGAATACGTCCAGATTACCTGAAAAAGTATGAGGTGCGTACTTTGTTTACTTCCTGTATGTATTCTGTTACAGTTTACTAAAGCAGTATTTTCACTTATTGGCATTTCATACTTTAATGCCAAAATATAACAATGATCTAGAATTTAGGTAAACATTCACCATCAAGGCATAAGCAAATTTTCACAGTTTCATTTTGAACACAGAAGAATGGCATTTATTAAGAGGAAACTTGTGATGGATTTGTCTCCATTAGAGGTGAGGACACATTAGTTAGCTTAACACCCTCAAATTTAATCTGAATTCTACTGTCATTTTGGGAAATTTCCTTACTGTTAGGAAGTATAACACCATATAAAAGGTGAATATATGTAAGAAGAGGTAAGATTTGAATACAGGGAACAATCGGTAGCAAGACAAACATTTTGAAGCTTTGCTTAAACTTAGAAACATAGTATGGAGCAATCAGTCTGTATAATCCCATGTATACAGATCATTTTCATATCAGTATATAGCTGTCCAATTGTACAGATCCAAAGAAATAGAACACATATCCTCAAAATTCCCACATTTTACAGCATTAGCTCAACACTTTGGATTATCCCACTATTTGGCCCTTCTATCAGTATAACCACACCAAAAAATCCAAACCCAAAACCAGTTTAACTTAAAAATTTCAGAAGACACTGTAAGATGAGAAACACTTGATCTACTACCAAGAGAGCTACATACACTCAGTCTTGTCCTCTTGAGACTGTCAGACATCAAGGAAACATTCTGTTCCTGCTGCCTTGTCTGAAGCCACAGTGCTGTATTTGGCATCCTCCGTCCCACACCAGCTTCAGGCCTTGTCAGAAAGGCAGCCAAGAGGCAGAACATCTGCCAGGACTGGTAGACAGGCATGTGCTCAACAAACAAATTGCATTATTTTTCCCTAGAGGACCCTAAGTACATCACTGTTGTAAGAGTATCCACTGATCAACATTCCACTCATCAGGGTGGGATGCTGAACACAGTATCTTGAACCAAGGCTTGGTTTTATTTTTCTTATCCTTGTGGGTTTTGTTTGGTTTTAAATTTAAAGCAAGAATCCTGTGCATCCACCAATTAGCCATCTGCTACAAATCCCTCCAAATGAACTCAGCTTTGGAAGACTACAGGACTGACAGGGGAAGGAAGCTCTGTATCTGCAAAAGAGCTCAGTCAATGCAGATGTTATGGGACAATTATGTCTTCACTCCTGATGTGGCAGAGCTATACAGACAGGGCTGTGGACTAAGCAAGCTAAAACTGCACCCCGAAACATGTACCCATGTACCACTTCCTTCCACACTGGAACTGAAAACCATAACAGACAATAATGTACCTACATATACACAACTACATTTGAGTCAGGGATTAAAAGTTTTTTTCAGTTAACAATTCAATGAGACTTTCTTTATCTAATCACTCAACAAGTGCATGTTTCTACCCTGAAGCATTTTTAGAGAAGTACTTTTATAGATGGGATTTCCATGCAGCACAATGAGGGAGACAAATGATGACAAACTGATAATGCAGATCCATTTTTCAAAAATCAGTTTTATCTTTAATCGTTACATTCCAAAGGGGATATATGAAAGTTAGTCATCTAGCAACTGTATACCTCTTAAGAGAGATGAGTACAGAGTCACAGATAAAAAAATACACCTAACTCCCAAGATGACAGGTGCTAGAGAAAGTATGTGCCTTACACCATCAATCCAGACAAATGCAGAAAGATTTTTATAATAAATATTTCATCATATACTAACTCCTGAGACTTTACCCATGAAAAGAAAGGGAAAGATTTTTTTAAGAGCTATCATACACCTACAATATATTAAGCTATTAAAGCAAAATAGAACAAAATAACACTGTCTTGATGTGCACTGCATTTGAATTTATCTACATCACAGTACTTGAAATATGCAGCTCAAAGAGTCAGTGTCCATTATGTTTTACCTTAAATCTGCAGACATCACTTGCCATACAAGCATCTTGAAGGTACGAGTGCAAGAAACCAAATGATGAATACAGCCAACCAGGATTTCATTCTCTGATATTAAAACTACACTGCAAGACTTCGATTTCCAGTACCTAGCATTAATCAGCAGAAAATCCAAGTATATTTACAAAAGGTCTTTACATAAAGTGATTAGTGAGTTGTAAGTAATTACTGTGTTCCCAGGTACTTTTTAACCACATAAATAGTAGAGAGAAATATATAGTTAAAAACCACCATAAAGTCACAACTGTAAATAATGTACCACAGTGGCAACCCAAGGTATCTTAGGGTTTGTTTTCTTTTCGGTTTTGTTAGTAAAAGCCATTTGAAAACATAAAGATTTTAGCTTTTGGTTAACTAATCTTTTAAAACTGATTCCACTCCAGTATATTCCTTCAAAGTTCAAATACATTTTCCTCTTTATTTCTTTTAAATCATTAACGAATCACTCAAGAAAACTCTTCTGAATTGGCAGGATCAGGAAGACATATGTCAGCTCTTTCCATGAGTCCCCTTTACTTCCCTGGAGTTGTTTTACTGAGACACAATTAACTCAGCACAACGTGATGGTCAAAGACAGATTTGCGCTGCTCTTGGACCTGCAGCTTCCAGCGCTGCTGGGCGTACTCCACTTTGTTCAGCACGTTGGCGCGGCTCCGAGAACGAGCCAGCACATCGTGTGCGTTTGCAAAAGGCTGGTGATCCTGGAATGGCAAAAGTCAATAGTTAGACCCCAACAATTCCACAGAGCAATCACATTAGTCTTTTGTGTCCTTACATTCCAAGGCTTTGTTTTGGTCTTTTTTAAGTTTAGGATTAACAAGCTGTTTCAACAAGCAGTCAGTAATAACGACCAAGCAAGGTTTTGTATGGTTAGAACTGTACTTCAATTCATTCACGGGAACTTCCACAGGTTTCCCAAATAGACCACACTTCATTGTACTGTCAGTCAATCATCTGCTGTCCAGAGGCACCACAGTGATCATCAGGTTTAGAATCACAGCCTTGCATCCATTAGGAGCTGGTGGGACAGACCCAAGACTGGGAGCCTCCCAGTCATGAATGCACTTCACTTTAAAACTGAATCTACGAGTCAGTTCTCTGCCAGCTCTTGGGCATTTACTGCCAGGCAGTTCAGGATGTTCACACACAGTTTCTATATAAAACCAACACACTCTGATGTTTACCAAACTAAGCCTATTGTACTGAGCTGCCTAAAAGCACAGTGTCAATACAGCTGTTTAAGTGACAGAACTCAACAAAAAACAAGTGCTCATTTTACATTTACTCTGTCTGTTTCTTAACAGTACCTGCAAAGCTTTATTTTCCTTCTAGTAAATATAACCAAGTTATAAATAGTAAATGCTGGAACTGAACTTTGATAGAACTTCTTCAGTTCGATCAAACTGTTTTGGACAAAGTCATGCTGCTAAGGCTATGTCAGAAAGCATCATATATACAATGCATAATGAAAAATAATGCAATTATGTCCTGTATTAAATAATTGTCTTTTTGAAGGCCTACATTTCACTGTCCTCTTTTTTTCCAGAGCACTTTTGAAGACATTTACATTAATGGATACTTTATTTGTGACATGACTGTGTAGAGCAGCTCACTGATAGCTCTTAGTTGTAAAAAGATTATCATCAATGATACCTATTGAGGTGATTAATACAAGTTGCGAAGCCACACGTGAGCCTTAAATAAATATGGTCAGAGAACAAGAGACAATCCCTGACCAGAAGAGCTGTAATCTCACCACAAAAAGTTGTAGAGTTGGATATACCCAGAACAGGCACTTAACAGGTGAGAGATCACTTCATTCACAGGGAAACAAAATCACAATAACAACACATTTCTACCACAGAACAGGTGGTGGGAGAACGCAGAACAAGCTGGACAGCACTGGCCTTCCCGATAAGCAAGAATCAGCTCAAAGGCTAACACTCTCAATTTCTATGTAGGCAATAAGGGGAAAAAAGAATTTAAGAAGAAAGAGAACTAAGGAAGTGGCTTACATTCATCAGTTACCATTGCCACCAATGGGCAAACATACTGGCTTGAAATTCAGCCACAAAAATCAATGCACACGGTATTTCCAAAGTGTGACAAAAATACTCAAGAACTTGCAAGAGGGAAGGCAAGGATGGGGATGAGAGACCTTAAATTATGTTACATTCACTGTAACGTGGAAGATTAACAGGAAAGGAGCAACTTGAAGAAAGCAAGGATATGAAGCGTCATTTGTTCCAAGCACCACTGCAGATAAAAGCACTAGTGACTCCATAGGTGTAAGTCAGAGAACAGCTACAGCAAAACACGGGACTTATTTCACTTCTTCCACCTACAGTCAGAAGATTTTAACCCAGATTTGGAGGTATTAACATAATTCATTTAAGGTACAAATTTGTCTGAGCCATAGCATACAGCACAAATTCACTTAATTCAAGTAGGAACTGCCTAATTTGATATAAGAATTCAGACACAGAAAGGGTCATTCAATTCCTTCCTTTCAAAAAAAAACCCAAACAAAAAGAAAAAAAAAAACCACACACATAAAAAATAAAAAACCCTCAACCCAAAATTCCCCTAGAAGTGACAGTGTAGGGAAAATCCTATGGTGTCAATACAAAGATAGTTGCAACATATCTATATGTAATCCACAAGGAAGTTCAGAAACAGTGGGACATAATCATTAGCCCCTTTCACTTTAAAAGGTGTTTCTGTTCAGCAAGGGGCTTATTAAGCATTCAAAATTAAGCATTTTCCTAGATAATAGTTTTTATCAGCTGTGCTTTCTTTATGAGCCCTGATTTCACAACAAAAATACGTGATTGTTACGCAGTGCTGGAGATCAGGAAGGCCAGTAATGAGAGGAACCACGTCACTAATGTACTACTCCCCTTTTCCTCCCAAAAAAGGTTGTTCTGGAACATACTGTCATATTTTGTTTTCTAAGTATTTCTTTGTAATACTAAGAAATTATTTCTGCATCAGTCACTATTTTACTTCATTATAGCAATTTCTTGAATTTTTAGCAGCAACAAGCTCAAACTGGAGTAAAACAAGGTGCAACCACTCCTTCTTTTTGCAATCTAAGCAGTAAGCAATTTGCATAAATGTGATCACCAGCAAGACTCAGGATCACTAGCACTTAAGTTGTACTGCTATATATGCTTACCTCCATTCCTACTGTTTCTTCTCCGTGAAAATAATCTGTGCCTAGAGCTGGGATAACTGAAGCAGTTTCCCCCCTCACTACTTTCTAGACCAGTGAAAAATGAAAGAATGGCTTCACAGAAGTCATCACACAGTTTTTTTAATGCTCTCCCTTCTGGGCAAGCATTTACGCTGCCTGGCAAAAGAACCTGCTCATCCCAAATAACTTTCTATCAGCTAATCATCCCAATCTTTATGCTCACCACGTACACAAACACTCTGGTGAACTCACCCCAATGTCTTCATCACTTTGTATGAGCTGTGAATGTCCAAGAAGACGTCTCTTCAGTATAGGCTCCACCAGTGTAAGGTACACCATGTACAGAAGAAGCAGGCCCAAAATAGACAGGTATATGATGATTGTTACCTGCATAATGCAAGCACAGTTTATGCCAGGACTTTGACATTCTTCCCACAATCTCACAGCAAGGGCCAAAAGAAGAGTACACCCAATGTCTAATCTCTGGTAGTATCACCAGATGACTTAAAACCCACAAAGAGAGGAAAACCAACAAACTACAACCTGGCATTAATAGGGTTTGGGGAAGATGTATATTAGCTTGAAACAGTTCCTCTTAGTGAGACCTTACTAAAAATCTTATGCAATCCCTCTTAAAACAATTCAGTGGGCTTACTAATTTGGGGCATCACCCAATGATGTCCATTCTCTAGGACAGATCTGCATTCAAACAATCACCAAGCAAAATGGGAAGGCAAAACAAAATACCAAACTTCTAAAATAGCAAAGTGGTCTGTGTTATGAAAAACCATAAGATACACTGCATGATCTATTCACCCAGTCCAGGATAAGAATTACAACGAAGAACATAGAAAACATCTGTTAGAACAAACATGGACAATCTTGCTCTGTTTACATTGCCAATGTATAAAGAAAACTTATAGTAAGCAAGTAAGGCAGATGAGTAATGAGAGGCCCCCTAGAATAATCAGAAAAACAAAGCCCAAAGCTTAACACTCAGAATTTTAGCCAGGTGTAAAGCCTAATCTCAAATGTGGAGATCTTCAATAAAGGGTCTCAAGTTCACTTCTTCAGCTATAGTTTGACACTATTGTTACCACTCAAGATAAACTGTGATCAAATACTATGAAAAAAACTTCAACCTTAGGCTGCTTTATAAAAGTTTTCCCTTTAAAAAGAATACTTCTCTAAAAGACAA